CATATTTGGTTGGTTCATTCTGTTAAGATCACTGTTACAGATTGCGGAAAAAGGTAGGACCCAAAAGCAGACTACAAAAAAGGTGAAGGTCTATAAACAAAAGCGAGCTTTATTTAAAATCTGAAAAAACAAAAACATGGCATGAATCGAAAAAACATAGATAGTACAAGGTAAAACACACAAAACTGACCGTGACCAACATGGAGGGAGACAGGAGAAACAAACAATGAACCGACGAGGAAACACAGGAAAAGACAAGACTAAATACAGGGAGGGTTAATCACGAGACGAGAAACAGCCGGGCAGGGAAGGAGAAACACAAGGGCAACAGGTGAACACAATCAGACAATCAGACACACCAGGGAAACTAACGACAGGGAGGAAAACACAGGGAGAATGACCAGACAAGAAACAAGGAGGAAAACTGAAGTTACCTACTGTAACTCCAGCTTCTATGAGTATTGGCGTAGCCCTCTAAGGCTATCGCTATTGGGTAATCCCCCTGCGCACCCGCGCAGCACTGAAACACTTGTAGTCCACGCCCGCCCGCAAGGTGGGCCCCACCCTCGGGCTCCCTTCCGGTATAAATAGGAAGGAGGCCCGACAATCTGCTCCCACACAAACAGCTTTTCTTCAGCTATTCGTGGAGCCAGTGGGGCCCAGAACTTAGAGGGCTACGCCAATACTCATAGAAGCTGGAGTTACAGTAGGTAACTTCAGTTCTATTTCGTATATGGCTTCGCCCTCTAAGGCTATCGCTATTGGGTTAAGGGCGAAGCAAGATGTAGACTGGGTCCGCCCGGTACTAGAAGCACAGACACACCTGCTCAGATAACAACCCATGCCCTTTGCGCCATGCGAATGGCGCATCACAGTCCCTGGAATATAGCATAACATGAATATTTTCCATGAGGGGACGAGGCTGGGAATAATACATACCTGCCGCTGTGAGAAAGTAGAGACGAAGGTCACACTTTGCCCAGTGACAGAAAGGAGGGGGAATCGCAGCTCTCTGCGTGCAGACAGGCAGAAGAGCGCACAGCTGTGTCCCCAACATCACTCACTCTGACAAGACATTCCGTACGAAATGTGTCAGGGGAAAAAGGGGGACGTCCCTCTCATAAGAGGGAAACACAGGCCACTCTCCGTGTGCCGAGAGGCAGGAGAGAGGCGCACAGCTGGATCCCTGACGTCACTCACTCTGACAGGACACTCAGCACAGGGTGTGTCAGAGAGGAATGGGAGACATCCCTCAAATACAATTGAATAAATGAACAGGGGGAAGACCAAGATGCCGCAATGCAAATGTCTTCCACTGACATTCCTCCGTGCAAAGCCGTGGAGGAGGAAAAATTCCTCTGGTGGAGTGCGCATTGATGTTCTCCGGGGGATCCACCCCAGCGGAGACATATGTGACACAGCTTCACACAGCCAGTGTGACAGCCGTTGTGCAGATAGAGACTGCCCTATCGAGCGCTCTCTATAATGCACAAACAGGCGCTGAGAACGGCGCAAGGCAGCCGTGCGCGCCACATAGCAGGACAGCTGAGATGAGACGTGGCTTCTTCCTCCGACCTGTGAGGAGGGGGAAAGAAGCCAGCCAGGGTGATCACTCTTGACCTAAAAGAGTTTGTGATGACCTTAGGCATGAAGCCGGGTTAGGGCGTAAACCAGCTGAACTGCCATCTCCTTGGATCCGGAGACATGACGGAGCCACAGAGAGAGCGGACAAATCACTCACCCTTTTCGCTGATATTAGAGCCAAAAGTAATAGCCTACTTTGGCTGATAACAGTTTAAGGGGAACCTGATCTAAAGGTTCAAAAGGGCTTTGCTTAGTGCGCGTAACACCAAAGCCAAATCCCACTGAGGCGCCAGTGCGCGTGACCCGCCAGTGTGCGTGACACAGGTCTGAGTCTCCGTACTCCTCGCATAAAACGGCTGCTGCGCTCTGCGAGCACCTCTGTTCAAATCCCCGGGAATATACATTGCTCTGATGGAGAGCAACGTGTGTGCGCGCCCAGAACAGCAGCCGCCTGGCTGCGTTCAGAAGCTGCACAGATCGTAGTCCTCCCTGGCGATTGAGGTAGGCTGCCGTGGCCTGTTGGCTGGGCGAATCAACACCTGTTTGATTGTACAGCAACGAGGCGAAGTGCTGGAATACTTCCCAAACCGGAGAACAGCTCCAGCACATTTACCTCTGACGCACGGGGTCGGTGCGTGGGCGAATGAACCACCTCTGGAGACCCCTCCTGTGGGGGAGACCCCGGGGAATCCCCACGTGATCAGCTGACGTCATGCTGAACAGCTGTATCACGGAGAGGGCTGTCACCACGCTGTGGGATGTGACACGCCGGAGAGGGAGCTGTCAGTTTCTCCACTCGCTGCAGCAAGAGCCGCGCTCTGCTGGCTGAGTTTTATTCCACTCGCAGATAAATGAATGTCTGGGAGGGAAGAGGACAGCTCTTCTTCAAATTCATTATGAAAACCAAGCTTTGACAGATGCGATACGAGATGTAACGTCTGTAAAGCGACTTCCTCCCTGGAGCGAGCCAGCAATAGCAGGTCGTCCAGATAAAACCACACTCTCATCCCTCCTCTGTGTAGTGGCTCCAGCCTTCTACACACTTTGAAAAAATGCGAGGAGCCAGGGAACATCCGAACGGCAGACGATTGTCTGGTCTGATATTTCCCTGAAAAGAGAAACGCAGGAATTTCCTGAGTTTCGGGATGATGATAGGCTACATGGAAGTATATGTGCTTCCGGTTTATGGAAGTGAACCAGTCGTCCTGGTGAACACATTCCAGCACCTGTTTGATCGTCAGCATGGGAATACTGACAGATCAAGGATGGGTCTCACTCCCCCGTTCTTTTCCGGGATTTTAGAAAATAACGGCAGTAAACACCCCTGATTTTCCTCCCTTTGAAAAAATGCCTTTTTCAACAGGAGTTCCTGCAGCGCTGAATGGAGCGCAAGACACTGTTCCTGGGATGACAGGAGCGCTTCTTGTATCCCATGGAACTGCGGGGTGGAGAGGCTGCTCTGTGACATGCTGTAATGGTCGTCATGACCATGCTCTGTAGGCATATCTGGGACAGAGGAATGCCGCGAGCTCTGCAGATTATAAACCAATAGGTTAAAACAGCAGGCTTCTGCAGCGAATGAACCACCTCTGGAGACTCCCCCTGTGGGGGAGACCCATGGGGATCACCACGTGACCAGCTGACGCCAATGCCGAGCAGCTGCGTCACGGAAAGGGCTGTGCGGGTTGGGACACGCCGGAGGAGAGCTGTCAGTTTCTCCACTCGCTGCCGTGAAAGCCGCGCTCTCATGCTGGCTGAGTTTAATTCCACTCCCAGATAATGATTGTCTGAGAGGGAAGAGGACAGCTCTCCTTCCAATTAATTATGAAACCCAGGCTTTGACAGATGCGATACGAGATGTAACGTCTGTAAAGCGACTTCCTCCCTGGAGCGAGCCAGCAAATAGCAGGTCGTCCAGAGAAAAACACATTCTCATCCCTCCTCTGTGTAGTGGCTCCAGCCTTCTCTACACAAACATGCGAGGAGCCAGGAAATATTCGAACGGCAGACGATCGTCTGGTCTGATATTCCCTGAAATGAGAAACGCAGGAATTTCCTGTGTTTCGGGATGATGGGTACATGGAAGTATGCATCCTCCTTCAGGTGGAAGTGAACCAGTCGTCCTGGTGAACACATTCCAGCACCTGTTTGATCGTCAGCATGTGATTGTGGGGGGGGGGAGAGGCGAACTGCAGGGTGTACCCTCTGCTGATCAGCCTGCTCATCCATCCATCACACACACACTCTGAGAGACACTCTGAGAGCGGGCGCACATGCTCGAGATGTGTCGTGGTTGTCATGGCGACGAGCCACGTCAGAGCCCTCGCCGCCGCTGCCCGCTGAGGCAACCCAGGTGGGCCTGGAGCAAAAGGGCTGTGAGGGTGTCTCCACATGCTGCGTTTCACTCCGGCTCTCATCATGAGGCGTGTACACGCTCAGGGGATGAGTGGAAGTGTGTGCAGTGCCGTTCACATGAGGCGTCATAACGGCGCTCATGGGCTTATTATGACCGTGTGTAGGAGACGTATCTCGGACAGAGGAATGCCGCGAGCTCTGCGGTTTATTAACCAATAGGTTAAAACCAGCAGGCTTCTGCAGCGAGCCCCTGATTTTCTTCCCCTTGAGGAACCCTGGAAATAGCCGTCCTACTACTCTCATACACCCACATGCACTGTTGGCATGCAAAGAAAGTTACATAAAGGTAGCATCATGCAACACTACATCAGTCTTGCAGCTAGCAGAGTGTAGGAGCATTATTATAATATAACATAACAAAAGATATGTCTTATACAGACGGGAATGTGACTTACAAGATTATGCATATTGTTCACAATGAGATGATGATGTAAACAGTACCTAGAAACTCAAAATGGCTGCTAACATAAACTCATGTGGCAGAGATTGTAAGCATTTGCACTGAAAATCAATCTGAGAATCAATAATGTCTTTATCACAAAGCATTTCAAACAGTTATCCATCACTCCGTTTCATCCAATTTAAAACGCCAACACAGGAGTTGTAAAGTCTGTCTTTAATCAAATATTAACAAAGCCCGATATTCAGCTCTAGACATTGGTATCCTGATTTTAATATTCTTCTCAGGGATATTATCTTGCTTTGATTTCATCTAGTTGACAGTGTTTGCATTTCCTTCACCAATATAAATACAGTTGTGTAAATTAAGAAAACCATTTTTTGATTTAGGTTAGCGAAAACATTGAAATTACAGCTGCGACTGCCAATATGTTATCTCAGCAATAATGTTATGTAATTAGAGACTTGTAATACCCTAATATACAAAAGATTGAAAATGGTATGAAAAAATCACAGACGTTATTAAATAACAATACATCACACAAATATGTACTACTGACCGCCAATCAGATAAAACAGCTCATTTACAATTCTCCATGGAATTATTCATTTTGGTATGGATTTGGGTTGTTCCTGTTCATGATGTACTTCTTCAAGAAGCCCATGAATCTGTAGAAAGCCACAAGAGGAATGGATACAATAGGAAGGACAGATAGGAGCACACAGATAGTGTAAACCCATTCAGGATAGTGCTGAACGTCAGCAAGGGGGAAGTTCACCTGTTGGGGGAAAGGAGTAGAAAGTCAATGTGTTTTTTCAACACCCAGCAGGTCGAACACTACATAATGATGTTGAAAAGAAACCGTTTCAACTTTCTTACATAATCTGGGTTCCAGGCGTTATATGTTGGTCTCTTTTCAGCCTCGACTACAACGTATGCCACAAAAACCACCAGAAGCATCAAAGGGCTGATAAAGCGCCATGTGGTCTGCCAGAAGATGTTGGGCCTCCTACCTGTCATCCATTCAATGTCATCATTAAACCTGAGGGAAAAGGAGACCCGTAGTCAAATAACTGAACTATATTTTCATATTGCAAGTATAATAATGCCATGAATTACAACCTCACCTGTTTATTCCATAGATGTATACCACACTGATGATCTCAAAGAAGGCTATGATGAGCAGAGGCATGGATCCCACGTAGTTGTTGAAAATCCCCAGCCAGTAGTTTCCAGAGCCCAGCGTGAAGATGAGAGCCACAGTAAAGGAGGTGAGGCAAATTAGCCCTTTTTAGCCACAAAAGACAATATAGGAAATGGATTTTGTTTTATGCTGTTATGATTAATAATGGTGAATTAAGTCATACAAAGGTATTTGTTTAACAATGAATTGAAAGTGTGTGCATTCCGACAGATCAAGAGACTTTTGAATACGAAGGGCAAAATCATTATTCATGCTAATTGATTAAAATGCAGTTTTTCGCCTCTCATATATGGAGATGTCCTGCCTTTCTTTGTTTTGCATCATATGTTTTGGTTTTGGACTAACAAAACAAGACATTTTTTTAAGACATCACCTCAGACTTTGAGAAACGGGAATGGACATTGTTCACTGGTTTATGACATTTTATAGAACCATTGATTTATCTAGAACATAATCAACAGATGAACTGTTAATGAAAATAATCCCTACTTGCAGTTTTTGTAATTTTATAATACAAACTACTAAACTAGTGATGAGTCATATAAACTCCTCAGATATTTTGGTTTACCTGTGAACACTTCCTTAGGAATCCAGGCTGGAATAATGTTCAGGTCCAGCAGAGGAGTAAGGACCCCCTCTAGATTCCCAAACATGGAGGACAGGCCCAGGCTGAAGAGCATGATGAAGAAGAGCACCGCCCACACCTGAGAGCCCGGCATATGTATCACCGCCTCAGTGAACACAATGAAGGCAAGTCCGGTTCCAGACGCACTCTACAGGTAGGATCTGAGACGTTATCTCTTACACAACAACCTCACAAAGGTTCATCAGAAAATGATTACAATAATTATCAAAGTAACAGATGCGTTGTACCTCATCCAGGAACGTCTGTAGGTTACACGTCTTTAGATTGAGGCTTTCGACCTCTGAGGGATCAGTATTGTTGAAATAGTTAAACCAGTCATCGTAGTTTTCCAGAGTTATGTTCTCATCCCCAATGTTGAAGGAATTAGTCAATCTTAGTATGTTCCTAAAATCAATGGAAATTAAATGAGTTAACACTACTAGTACAAGCATCACATCTTATAATGAAAACTAGCGGGGACATCTTTTCATTAATCAACTGTGAAAATAGATGTTTTTTTTGTACTGATTAATTGATAAATACACAAACTTTTACAGCATAATTCCTTTTATGATACATACCAATTTCTGCACTTATTGAAGTTTTCATTAGCTTTAAATCCAAGAATGGCAAAAATTGGAATGGATGCATATATTGACGTGAAACTGTTCACCAATCCAACAATTAGGGCATCTCTCTCACAATCATTCCTGCAAAGATAAAGCAAAGTTTCACTTTTATTTTATAGTATTTTTCTATTGTGTACATAATGCTGTAAAATGAAAAAGTGTTTATAAAGGTCTTACTTCTGAACATTATAACTGGAAAAAGCAATAAGTCCTCCGAAGGCCAAAGACAAAGAGAAAAAGATCTGAGTAGAAGCATCCAACCAGACATCAGGATTCTTAAGAGTTTCCCACTGCAAAGAACATACTAATTGTTAGTTAGACATCCATTTGTATTCATTACATTCAATCATCCATTCAAAATAAAGCTAATGTCAAACTTACATCTGGAGTGAAGAGATATATTAAGCCATCTGTGGCCCCAGGCAGAGTCAGTGATCTGATCAAGAAGATGGTCAAAACCAGATATGGGAAGGTGACTGTGACATAAATAGCCTGTTGAAACAGTTAAATGCTGATAACATATTTCATATTCAAATCAAACGGAAATACAGATTGTTGTAACCTCATTTATCATATGCACTCCTAATGTGTGTGGGGTTTTGAAAGTGTGTTCTTACAGCTGGGGAGCTCTTCTGTCACTTGTTTAGGTGATACAAAGACAGTCTTCCGTCCATCACCTTTAATGCAGCCTCTACCCGAGTGCCATATCACATGTTAAATAAGATTACTGATGAGCTTGTTTTTGCTGATCCCATTATACCATGCTGTTTTTGGAGACGGAAGGTTTTTCTTGCTGTTAAAGTGTGATTTGTAACTTGTATGCTTGGTGGATTTGTTCCAGTGGAGGGATCTACAGTGCACTTCTCTATAAAGGGAGGTGTGTGGTGCAGTGGGTTGTGCGTTGGTGTTGGGATCAGGGGAGCACAGGTTCAAACCCCACTGCAGTCAGCATGTCGTTGTGTCCCTGAGACACTTCACCCCAAATTGCTCCAGTGGGGATTGCCCACAGTATTGAGTATGTAAGTCGCTTTGGATAAAAGCGTCTAACAAGTGACATGACATGTAATCTATTCCAGCATTTTATTTCTATTTGCATAGTCCATTTCATATTCATTTAATTTTGACATCATATAGATCTTTGTACAGAAAGCCAGTGTTACTCTTATCGTTTCAACATTTTGAAATCAATAGTTGGGCTGTAAGATACAACAAATAGATATAACATTACAAATATGTGTTAGCATTACATCTAACAGTACAAATTACCTTTCCAATAGTCTCAATTCCCCGTATGAAGCAGATGTACACGAGGCACCAAGCAGTTGCGAGACACAGTACGAGCCACCACTGAAAGGAGCCGCTGGTCTCAATGTTTGGTGTGATGTTCAGTGTTTCACGATACCAAAAGTAGTTCACCGCCGAGCCCTTCTCACATTCACTTACATAGCCTGTATCAAAGAGATTGTTCATCATGAAATAATTGATGGGACTGTATTTCATGTTGAGTTTTCATTCAACATTTATCTTTCAATGATATTATTATGAAAAGATAAGATAAGTAAGAAAATACCAGTATGATTCAAGTTTATTGGGCAGTCCCTCCAAGGAAGTGGGCTTTGAAAGGAGTGGAAAAAGTACCAGAGGATCCAGGCCAGGATCATGTTGTAGAACAGGCCGACTAGGAAGGAGACTGCCAAGGAAGCAACACCTGTATATCCACATTTACACATTCACAAAGAAATGTATGATTGTTACGAAAGGCAGTGATTTCCAGATAGTCATGCACACAACTTTATTTTGTACAGTACATCCCCTTGTTTTTGGCTTATTGCTTTCCTGAGTAAATGGTATTGATTGAACCTTCTCACCTAATCCTCCCATGTAAGGGGAGATTGAATTCCACACTCCAATACTTCCCATGCGGAGCCGTTGTCCGATGGCCAGCTCCATGTGCAGCAGAGGAAGTCCCTCAAACACCAACGCAATGGCATAAGGAATCAGAAAGGCCCCTTCAAATAGGGCAAATCAAAGTCATAACAATGGCCATAATGACTGATAAGGGACAATAACACAATACATATGAGATATTCAGTAATGAGTCGACTTCAAAATAAACATTGGCAATGCCTTTTATTTTTGAAGGTCATTCGGTTTATGATTACTTTTGACTATCAACAATCTGAGCTTTATCACACCCAGCAATAGCTCTCAACACCAGACATAACTGATTCCCTAGTTAATCATTACATTACATGTCACTTGTTAGACATTTTTTATCCAAAGTGATACTGTGGGCAATCCCCACAGGAGCAATTTGGGGTGAAGTGTCTTGCCCAGGGACACAACGACATGCTGACTGCAGTGGGGTTTGAACCTGTGACCCCCTGATCCCAACACCAACGCACAATCCACTGCACCACACGCCTCCCTGTGTCATCATTTATCAATCTTGATGATTCAAGTTTATCTTTGAAACTAGATGTCTTCAGAAACCTTAATTGTGTTCTGGAAAAACAAGATAACAACATGAAAATAGAAGCAAAGTAATATTTGCATAATTTCTGAAACCACATCTCATCAAAATAGATGTGACTATTGTGAAGCATTTCAGTATAACTGTGGAGTGTGTTTGTGCGTCTGATTGTTTAGTGAGATTAACATATTGGAAATAAAGGTTGTAGGCTATTTTCTAGTAAGGGAATTAAAATGATAGTAACAGCTTTTAAAGCAGTGTAAATTGTTTATCATTGTGTTGTAAGAGCCTTTGGATAAATGAATACAAAATATTTGTCAAACCAAATGGAAAGTCAAATATTTGCGACCCACTTTACTGTTTTGTTAACATCAAAATGCTCTTACCTCCTCCATAGGTTTGACACAAATACGGAAATCTCCACACGTTACCGAGTCCCACAGCAAAACCTATGCAGGTTAGCAAGTATTGAACTTTATTGTCCCATTTTGGTCTTTCAGCGATGTCTTTAGGTTCATCATCCTGCATCTGCTCAGCACTTCCAGGTGTATCCATCACTTGTTTTCGTTGGTATTTCAGAATATTGTAAGAGGCTAATCTTCTTTTATCTGACTCGTCCACTCTGTCTGAGGAGAAGGGGAGGACCTGGGGACTTGTTACCTGTTTGTATCAGGAGGCGAAGGAGCGACATGTTCTTTATCAGCCTCCTATTTTGTGTTGGCTTTTAATCCTGTGGGAACAATCTGGTTTGTTTGTTTAATAAAAAGCCCTTGTGTAAAGCGGCGTGATCTGATGTTGATTACAAAGCTGTAACATTGAAAGTTATACAACACAGCATAAATAAGGAACCCCGAGAGAAAACTGTGCAAATAAATTCCTTTTAATTCATAACGTGATACAGTCTACATTGCATTTATTATTTTACAGTTGTACAAGGTTTCCATTACTTCAGTCAATGGTTATTATCCCTTACAAAAGGTTCTGTACAAGTATCTATTGTGGATGCAGTTCCTTATCAAACCTAATTTGAATGATGTTATCTTTCATATTCATACAGACTACAATCAGTCACATCCATTATAATTAAATTGAATATTAAAGTAAACTCATAAAGCATGTATTTACACATGGTAAATGCATTTAAATAACAATAAGCAGCTGATTTAATGACTATTTACTTCTCAAACACATCACAATAGTGACCCCAGCTGGACAGATTCATGTACTTTCATTGCATGGCTCGAAGTCAGTTTCCTTTTGGGATAGTATTTCCTCCCATTCTTAAAGCTCCCATGTCATGCTTTTCCAGTTATTACCCGTCCCCTTGTGTGTTATGAAGGTTTTTATGCATGTAAACGGTGTGCAAAGTCAAAACCCTCAAAGTACACCCTGTAGCGAGTAAAACTCTAACACAGAAAATACCTCCCCAAAACGCCTCGTTGGAGATACGTCACTGCCCATTTGAGTCTTCCATTTAGTTCCGGGTACGGCATGATGTCATGCGTCATGTCATGTCAGGCCCTGACAAAACAGCAGGGCCCTATTTCAGTATTAACTATAGAATAAAAGACAGCAACAGCTGACATCAAATCTTTGCGGAGCCCAAGGATAATAATCATAAATAAATAACATAGTGAAAATAAATATATTGCAATGCTCAGTACAGCTGCATCCAACCGTCTCTAATCATAAAAAAACATAATACAAATAAATGTATTGCAATGCTCAAAACAGCAGCATCCAACAGTCTCTAATCCTTGGATATTACATGCCACTGCATGCATGCACGGAGCAGCTGTAGCGCGGAGATCATCATATCATATCATTGTATTACTTAACAAAAAATAACAAAAACAAAAAACCGGCTCGTTCGCGGGCGCGAGCCGGCTCCCGTCGTTCAGAGCCGGCTCGTTCGCGACCGACACATCACTAGTTGGAAGCTCTGGTTCAGTTCACAATCGATCCAGTCATGCCAATGCCAAGGACCTGTTTCCTGAAATGTGAGGAGAAATCTGAGCTGTTTGTCCTACCGACGGAAGAACCACGACGAAGTCAGTGGTTGAAATTTCTTTTAACACTGTTCCTTCAGAGGTTCGAAGAACGTTACTGTGTGCGCGGCATTTCACAGACGAAAGCTTCCAAAACATTGCCCAGTTTGAGGCCGGATATGCACAGCATTTGAAACTGAAGGACGATGCTATTCCTAGTTTGTTTGGACCGTTTGGATCAGGGGAAGATTTGGGTACACAACCTGTAAGTTTGCATTGTTATTTGTGTATTTATCAAACAAGGTATCTACCACGACTGTTTAAATGTGTAAACATGTTTCGGACTGCTAAGCCAGTGCTAACTGTGCTAACTAAGTTGCTAGCGTTTCCATATCAACTCTAATATCAGCAGATGGCCTTACATACATGTATCTCATAGCAGGAGAATGTCTGCATTCACACACGAAATACTCATAGACAGTATACTCCAGGTGATTTACCGTACGGTCAGTCGCGAAACGTAATTACATTATAGCTGGCGTTCCGAGCGTGTATGCTACCGAGCTAAACAACAAGGCTACTTATGCCCCTTTCACACCGGCGCTTTTCCAGCTCCGGCTCGGAGCTGGAGCTGGAAAAGCGCAGTTTTTTCCTGTTCACACTGCAGCGGCGCCGCGTCATAGCTCCGGAATGCGGTTCACTTCCAGCTCCAAAAAATTGTCGGTCTAGAGGCAAGAGCTTCGGAGCTATGACGCGGCGTCGCTTACGTCTCTCTTACGTCGAGGCGTGCAGGAAACTAAACCCACCTCCCCTGAACATGGGTCGACTGAAGAGTCTCGTCATGCCTGCCTACAAGCATTAGCGCTGAGCAAAGTGACTAGAAGGCAACCACACAAAAAAAAACACACTTTATAAAGTCAGGCAACACTAACCAGGCTTCGTGTGATTCTGTTTATTTGTACCTTACTTTGACCATCCGTTCGCTGTTATTGATCATTGTGGAGAGCAGGCAGACGTTTTGTTTGTTATTATAGCAGCTATCGGATGGAATCAATACATGGGCTGCACAGGTTGTCATGTCCGACTATCACAAGTAGAATCATAATGAAAAATACGCCGGTAAAATGTGCCTGTAGAAAACGGCTTAGCAAGTAGTCAGTTTAGCTTCGGTTGCTATGCTAACATCACCCATGTTATACCAGAGAAACTTTCATAACAGCGTTGTGATGCCAAACAGCGTCAATTCAGACTGACACACATTCACTTAAGGGGAACTGGGATATGTATCAGCTGCTTGTGTGACAGTCAGACAGTGAATACTTTAGAGCCGTGTGAGCTAACCCGGAGCTAACGGGAGAATAAACTCCCGTGGAAGAGCAGCCAGCACTGCAGCGGTCGGTAAATGCCGCTGAAACACATTAATAAACAATGAACCACGGCACTCTGGAGAAAAGTATAAGGTTGGAGAAGTCGTTATTTAATTTAATCTGGCTTCGTATGATTAAAAGCAACACGATCATCGACCCGACGCAGTCCCCCCCCGTTGTTGTTGTGAGCTCCGTTGGGGAGAAAATCAGCGATGTAAACGGTGACGTCATGACGCAGCAGCGGCAGCTGGGCGGTGTGAATAGAGCGGGAGCTGAAAAGGGAAACCGGAGCTGAACCAGAAAAGCTCTAGCTAGGAGCTAGAAAGGGAAAAGCGCTGGTGTGAAAGCCGCATAAGGGCTAGACATGAGTTTGCTCGGAAAAACATTGTTTTTACCCATATAAGATTGCAATTGTAAACATGTGCTTGATAGCCTAATATGAACCACTATCTGTTGTTCATAGTATAGTATAGCATATTAAACAACTGAACAACTAGCAAACGTAGATTAGCATTGTAATCCAGCTGGCAAGCTGACGAACATCAAACAACTAAGTTTATTTCACACTTCACACTCTTTGCCCGCTCACAGACCCCCAAAGGACGGCCTAGAGACCTCCAAGAGGTGTCCCTGAAATGGGGACTCTGTTTATTTCATAATTCCAGCAGAGACAACTGGGAAATCCCCTCTCTTTGCCCGCTCACAGACCCCCAAAGGACGGTACATTTCAGTTGGCTTTCCTCCGACGCTGATAGCATGTATAGCTAACGAGGCTAGCTATACATGCTAGCGGGAAACATTGTATGACCTGTTGGAGCAGAACACCTATTGTGGTGGCTGATAGCCACCCCCTCTGCTACGCGCCGTTCGTTGGATGAGGCTGATCTCTATTTAATAAAGAAAGAAATTGAAAACACCGGAATCAAAAGTTATAACAATTATCTGAGTTTACTGGTAGGAAACAAAACACGTATACAAGTTATACAGAGTACTCCGGACTTCAGGCTTGTGATGCGGTTTACAGGTAGACAGACCAGCTTTCAGAAAACGAGAAGTATGGACTCCAGGTTTGTGATGCGGTTTACCGTCTCTAGACCAGCTTTCAGCAAACCAGAAGTATTTTTACATACAAAAACAACAGTATTCATATCCATATTTTGGGGCGGAGATGCGTCGACTCTTCCTTCCCATTTTACTCCGAAGCGAATCAGAGAGTCCGTGGGGAGGAGCTGTGTGAGCTGCTCACTCCCCCAGGTGTTCTTACTGGTTGGATCCACCTCTGGTCGGGTTCAATACAGCGAATCAGAGTTCTGACCAGAACGTGAGATTCTAAGTTTCCACAAGGTCAAAGTCAATCTTATCTCTGCACCGGTATTCACTCCCTTATTTTCCCATGGCATCTTTCACATACACTGTTACTCTCAGACAATTAAACATTGTATACAGATATAATGAGCCCAGAAAGAACATACTGATACCCAGAAAGAACCTTGAAAAGAACATGTGTGGGCGCTCTGGTGAAAAGGAGCTGTGTGCGTGTGAAACAGGATCTCTGGGTCAGTGAGTTGTAAGTGAGAATATCATTTCTATATACATGTATCTGATTACTTAAAACAGTTCAAACAATACATGTTTACTTCAATACAGTTTAGAATCATATCTTTTTACTTCAATCCCTCTTTTGATCTCACCTCACGAGATCAACATATAGCATTTGAAACATAACCACTGTCATTCTTTTCTACTGTGTCTGTCCCAACATTTATATAAATCCATCAGAAGCTGGGATTTAGAGCACTTTAAACCTTTAGGAACAGTCCACTACAACAACTTCTTATGACAGTGGAGGGAGAATAAAATATGTCTAAAAAGTTCGTCCTTGTCAGCTGAGTCATCGTACTCTTCCCCCTCCGACGCATAAGCCAACAAGGGCATTTGGTACGAAGGGGAAGGCGCAGCTTTTCCCTCAATGGTGGAACTGATGAGTCTAACACACAATGAGCGGATACAAGGCACACAACAACAACCACATGTCACCAAAATGGCAATAAAAGTAGCCACAGAAATTAGAAAAGACATTATTAAACTTTTCCCTCTTTTGGTAACACATAGTTCTGTATGGTAAAAAATACAAATCCCTTAAATTATGGGATATAAAAATAAAGTTGACGTTCCTCCAAAAAATGGATTGTTCAAACAA